GAAAGGCTCCTCGAGAGCTGGTCGCAGCCTGTCGCCAAGTCGCACGAAGTGACATTGACGTTCAGTCCTCGCGCTTTGGCCCTGACTCGAATGCCGGCGCCCAAAGGATCTCGCTGTGAAGGTACCTGAAAACCATCGTTTCCTTGCACTGCTCGAACGTTGGTGTGTTCGTGTCCTTAGTGTTGCGGCTTGCATTATCTCCTTGTCCTTGTTGATGGTTCTTTTAAACCCGCGCAAGGTCCGTTGCCATTGTTCCACCCATAGCACTTCTGGCCCCCCTGACTTGATTTCCCACTTGCGGCGCCCTTTCCTTTGCTTTGGCCACCACCTGGCCCGAAACTTGTAGCCTCTGTCCTTGGTTCGCCTCCTTTGTCGCGCTATGGCCCTCGAGCTTCTGGACCGCTAATCCACTGGAATGTTCGCTGCCGCGTGTTTTTCTCGGGGGCCCCTGCCCCCCTTGGCCAACCAAGTCAGGGCAGCTTGGCGTAGTTGTTCCTGCTATGTCCTCCAAGGGTTCGATTGCGCCCACCTGGCGGCGGTGAAACTCCCGCAGTCACTCTCATCGTAATCCTGCACGCCACCCTTGCAGATAGCTCAGCACGAGCTCTGTCTTCCGCCGAATAGACAAGGGCGCCAACAGTTTGTGTATCTCCTGGCCATCCTCTCCGCGAAGTCCTCGCACGTCGCACGCTTGCAAACGAGCGACACTCACGGCGTTCAAGGCAGTTCTGTAGACCTTGAAGCACGCCGACCACTGGGGGAATCCAGGAAGTTCTTTCAGCACGTATTCCCCCTCGCCTGCGGAGACGTGTGGTGACCTGTACTTCGAAGCCTTTAACGCCTTGCGCGCAAACGGGACAGAGACTGAGAACTCTGCGCGCGGAGGTAGGCCTGAACTCGTCCTGCGTTTCAAGACAAGGTATTGTTCCAACGTAGGTTCCGATTCCTCTGCGGGGGGTGCGCCCATTGTTGCGACGTATCTCTCCAGGGCTTAGACAAAGTCTTTTGAGCTGTTCTTGTCCACGATCAGCTCTGACTCGTCCAATTGGTCGAGAGTTGTCGCCATTTTCACTTTCCGCTCGTTGTCCACCGACGCAGCCGGGGATGAGGTCGTGGTGGTTTGACGACTTGCTGTTGCACCGGACCCCCAAGGATCTGGATCCACCCAATCGTCGACGTTCCTTCCTGCAGCGACCCACATGCATCTCCTCGCCAACCTCCAAACAGGCCCCACCTGACTGAAGGAGCTCTCTTCTGCAAAACCTTTGCGTGCGCCGACGTTCTGGCTGGCATGTCTGTCTGCGTCGCTGGGGCCAATCTATGTGTCGATGGGCTTGGCTCCGTGTACCATTCTGGGGGTGGGGTGAGCCAAGGTTTCCAGCAATGCAAGCCTCGAAACTTGGGCGTGAACGCAGAAGATCTGGAGGCATTGCAAGATGTAGTTTATATGCAGAGTCCGGAGGACACTGACGCGCCTACACTCTCCCTGGCTGACGAAAGCAGCCGCGGATAGTGTCAAGGAAAGCTCCTGCAACATTCTCATCAGCGGTCAGCCATGGTCAGCCGTAGTGATTGCAGTTGGCCTCGCGTGGCCTTGGGCAGAGTTCTTCGATGGTTGAGCAATGTGTAGTCTCCAACCGGAGGCATGAACTTTCTTTTGCCTTTTTATCCTTCCTTGTCCTCGCGAGCGGCCATGTTCCTCGCGTGACTGTTATGGGCTCCTTGAATTCCCTGTCGGCCCTTCGCAACCACTATCAACTACCACAGGCAGTTTGGGATGCCTTGGAGAAGCAGCTAGGCGATGTCGCCGACGAGATTCGAAATTTGGCCGCTGCTCCGGCCAATATCTTCACAACATCTGTGGAAACTTTGCAATTGGCGGATGAGTGCCAGGAAAGCGCTGGCGCCAACTCCGACCAGGCATCCGACTCATCGCGCGCGGCAATGACGCCAGTTCCCGCCTTGCCTCGCAGGCGGGCATTCATCACGGCCAGACCCTTGTGGACTGCAAGCTCTGACAAGTGCTCCGAGCCATCCAAGAGGACCATGTTGCACTGCGGCCTGCTGGTCTGGATGCTTTGCTTCGCACGAGTCAACTGGTCCCGCAAATCCTGGATGCGGCTGCGCAGGGTATCCCTTTCGCCGCGAGTGTCCTCCAGCTGCTTGCGGAGAACATCTCGGTCAGCGATGCTCTGCTGCAGCAGGGTTTGGCACCCACACAGATTAGCAAAGAAGTGTTGGGATATTTGTTGGGGGCTGGAGCGGCTGGAGCATCTTTGTTGAGCCCCAACAGCGATGTGACCCAAGACCATGCCATGACAAGGGAAGCTATTACAAGCTGTTCTGCAGGTACAGAATGAATCTTTGGGGTTGTGTTTCGTATGATCTTCGGTCTTGCGCTGGCGCTTTCGAGTTTGGGTGTAAGTTTTGAGAAGAGAGTTCGCAGTTCAGGGTTTGGGGTTGGGTGTAGGCTTCAGGGCTCGGTGTTAGGATTATAGGCCAGTAGAGGAGTTGCGCTTTGAGATTTAGGATCCTGCGGAGATGCGGAGGCTGTAAGGTGCCAGTGTGAGGCTTCGAACTTTGAGATTAGGCTGCGGGGTTTGGGCTTTACCCTAGCCCTAAACCCTAGGGTTGAAGGTTTGGAAGTCAGGGCTCAGGGGTTTTAGGTAGCTACCCGGTTTAGGGTCTTGCGGTTTGTGGTTTAGGGTTTAAGTTGCAGGGCTGAGGGTTTAAGGTTTAAGGGTTTGGGCTAGGGTTTAGGGTCTACCGTGTTGGGTTGTGGGTTTATGGGTCAAGGAATTGGGAGTTGCCTAGATGAGCACAATGATTTACAAGGGTTCTGGCGTTGGTGGTTCTCTAATTCTTCCATCGGTGTCGATACGGCAGCAGCTGTGGGAAGCCATATCAATAAAAAGGCTGAATAACTAGAACATGGTGAGAAAGCGTCGGCAGTAATCCAATAATTCAGTCGTACACTGCCCAAGCAACCTCACACAATCCGTGAACCCAGCACTTGGACGTTACCTCTGAAAACAGGGTTAAGGGCTTGGGGGGTTCTAAACCCTACGGACTCCAAAACGTTGCATACTAAACCCATCGTGAGCCACTCCGCTTGATACTAGGAATTGTAGTGTTTATGCTATGTCGTGCCTTGTAACGCATTGCTGTTATCCTCGTCACTCGCCTGTACCCTCATGGTGCAATTACAGCATTTTCAAGTACTGCTGCCACGAAGGTGCCCTCTGTAGGGAAACCGCCAAGGCAGGGAAGGTCCGTAACGAGGTTCAAAAATTCTGTTGGCAATAGTTCCTGAAAGTTTTTGCGGGCGTGGAGCTGCATTTGGGGGATGCACCTGTCTTGCATGCAAGGCTGTATCCACTATCAGGCGACCGACATGGGACCTTTGTTTTACGCGGATGTTGTGGAGTCCTTCATGCACCGATGATGGACATGACGGCCTACAAGGAGTGCGTCCCACCCGACTGGCCGTAGCATGTCCGCCACAGGCCTTTGATGATGCATGATGTTGATCGTCGTGGCGACACAAAACCCCATGTTGTAGCCATTGTAGCCTTTGTGAGGTGTCTGGTCAATGTTGGCGGATATGTTTCAGCTGTTATATCAAGAGGCCAAGGCCCAAGACTCGCTTGATAAATTGCTTGCTGCTCTCGCTGCTGCGGGCTACGGCAGCCTGCAACAGCTTGGATGTGGGTATGCTTCTCTTGGTGCTGTTGAGTGTCGCGCGCAGCTGCAGCGCAGCTCTTCGCGGTTCATGCCAGCTGCGGGCTGAGTTTAAGGGTTTAAAGCAAGTTCCCCTGTATCATAGCTCCCATGCAACCCCGATGAGAATTGCTGTCGAGCAGCCGTGTCCCAGGGACGTCGGAAGAGCGTTGTCTCGTCATAACTTGGCGCTGTTGAGCTGTTGGGGGGGCATTTGGGGAGCCACGGCGGGGCTTAGGGTTGCGGAACATAGCACATCGAAAAAGGGCTCTGATCCGAGAAGCCTGAACTAAGCGCATGTTTGCTGACACACCTGCTGTAAAAAGACTTGCAGCTTTTGCCATGGTCTCAGCCCGCCTGTTAAGACCATGCAGTGACTCTCCAAGTGGCGATGGCTGGGCTCCCCCGCTCGGCAAGAGATTTTTGCTTGGCATCTTTCTGGCCTCACGAGGCGGTAGCAGGTGGTGTGAGTTCAGGGGTGTCTTTGACAGTGGAGTGCTGGAGGGAAGCAGCACAAGCCTCGAATGACTTGGATGAAAAATGCTAGATGAGCAAAACCTACACCTAGATCGAAATATCCTCTAGGAGAAAGGAATTGCCTTGGCAAAGAGCTGAGTACGCTGCCTTGCTTCTCAGCCTCGGTACATCTGTCTGGTCCAGACTTTAAAACTGCGAATATGTTCAGCCGCTACATCCACTAGGACTCAGCAGCCTCGACACACCTGCGACCCCGAAGCCATCTTCTGAAGCAAAACTGAGCAAAGCTACACAATCCCCCCCTCCCCCAGGCTATCCAAAGCCTCAGTCAAAAGAAACACAAATCGCCGGGCTGCTGCTTTTGCCTTGCTTTGCGCGCTTTGCCCCTGTCGAAATTCAGGGCAAAGACATGCAAAGACCCCTGGGAACAGCCGCCCACTCCTCGACAGGTCAATGATTTGATTGAACGTCGAACAATCCAAAGGGCTCAGACCAGGGGTCAAAGGCAGGAAAGTACAAAGTATGGAGGCTGCAGCGTGAAGGCAATCCGCGGCCTGGGTCTTAAGCCGACTCGTCGGGAGCCAAAGCCTTGCGATGAATCGGTCTCCAGGAGGCACACCGCTGATCATGAGAGGGCCCTGCGACCCCCCCTCTCCCCCGCATCACCGTCGAAACGCTCGTACATCTTCTAGTGAAGGTTCCGATACTGCAAAGGTCCCTGCTGCGGTGGCCCCGTGGATGGCGGGGGCTTTGGAGTTGGCTCCAGTGTCCTGCGCCGCATCTACAACGGTGAGGGGCAGCACTTAAGGGGTCTGGAGGCATCGCAGCCCCGACCCAGGCCCGCCCCAGAGACAATTTCCAGAGTGGTAGAAATCATCACATGATCTCGAAAAGTTGGCCCTCAGCTGCACTCGGGTGTAGGCACAAATCTGAGGTCGCGGCTCCAAAGTGGAGTAGGGTTGCTTCATGGACCTCACCTCATGAGAAAAAAGGTAGAGAGCTTAGGGCATATAACGGACCAGGAGATCTGATATAGAAGAGGTCCAAAGGGGAAGAGCTCTCCCCATGCAATCAGGGCCCCGGCCCACTCTGTGGTGTCCCTGGGCTCCAGGGCCTTTCGCAGCTCCAAGGGCCCGGTATGGATGCGGACCTCGCGCTTCGCAGCTCTGTGTTGGGGGTTGTGATGCTCCAATGGGGGGTCCAGCAACGACTTACGTGGAGGAGTCGGCGCTTTAGCCGCTTTAGCCGCTTTAGCCTCAAGACGTGGGATGCTGAAGGCACGGGATTCCTTGGAGTTTACAAGTCTGGCGCCTGTGGAGCCGGTTTTGGTGAAGGACTGACTCCCGAAGCCCTGAGTCCGTACTGTGCCATGTTTCCACATGTTGTTCCTTAGCTGCGAAGCTAAACAGCCCTGAGCCCAACCAACACACAGAGTTGAAATATGCTGAAATGCTGTGAAAGTCCTAGGACCTTGGACGTCTCAGCCGCATACTCCACGTGCTTTCGCCGACATCTTGCCATACCTCGTGAATTCTGAAGCTCTGGGTTGCGTTGGGTTGCGTTGGGTTGCGTTGGGGCTACCTGTTGTGGGTCCGTTATTTGGCCGCGAGGTCTTTGCGATTTCTTTCTTCGTTGTTTTTTTTCATTTTTTTTTGGGGGGGGGGGGGGGCTGTTGGCTCCACCTACAGAACCACGCTGGCAAGCCAGCTGTTTCCGTGAGACCCAGCAGTTTCAGTGATTTTTGAGTGAGGGCAAAAGCTCAGGAGCTCAGCAGGGTCTTCAGCTTGGCCTCAGGCGTGTCGCGCACTTCGACAATCTTGGCGGCGAGCAAGGGCCTGCTGCCTCGACAGAAGGGCTGGGTGCGCCAAGCGCTGCACCCCCGGAAGCACTGGGAACAAAAACCCAAACATACTTTTTCATCCCATACGTTTTAATCCCGGCGATCGAGCAAATCTCACAAACCAAGGTCGCGGCTTGCGCCCCCTCTGTGGTTGCCCTGCGGTGCGCACGGGTCAAGCGTTGCTGGCTCTAGGCTTTGTCCGCTCAGGTTGACAGTTTCGATGAGTCGCAAAAGGACGTGCCAGGCCGTGAAGCCTGCTTTGCAAAGTAGCTTTCGGGCATGCTTTTTGCGTCTATCCTCCTCCACAACCCAGAGCGTAAACTCTGAGTAAAGCCCTGGAGCTTTCGGCGTAGGACGGTTAGGGACCCGTAGAGGCGATGCCTCCACAAACCGGGAGTTGCGGACGGTCCTTTCGAGGAGGCGGTTGTTTAGGTTGCGTAATGCTGCGCCTTAAAGCCTTTCATGGTCAAAGCTCCCGAAAAGGGCTCAAGGATGCTTTCGTGAAAGGAACCCACAAGGTCCCCCCCCCCCCCACAACCCAAGTCACGGACCGGCCTTGGAGCTTTGCTCCTCCCACAAGGCTGCGATGAGGCTCAAAGCTGAGGACTTCGGATTTCGGCTGGGTCTGGGGCGGGGCTCTTGCAGTACCGCTTTCTACTGCGGCTCGCATACATTAGTCCCTAGACCGACAAAGGAATTGAGTCCCCCCTAAACCCGACCGAAAGGAAACTCTCAAACTCCTGAATCGGGGTACCGGGGTACCTCCTGAACTTCAGCCGAGAACCCTCAGATGAACTCTCCAAGTGCACTTCACTCCAAGCAGAGAAGTGCTCTCGGATTTTTTGTTTGCGGTCCTTGGAGTCCTTGGAGTCCTTGGAGTCCTTGCTCGCTTTGGACCTTACACGCCAAAAGCAGCCCAAGCGCTTTCCAAGCTTTCCCAGAAAAACGCTGAGGAGTTTCGGCTGTTTTTTTGCCTAAGCATGTTTCGCGGACTTCGGCGCGTCCTCAAAACATGTGAGGCAGGGCTACTAGGGCTTCGGGGATCAGCCCTTGGAGGGTTCGCAGCATAGGGGGCAGGAATGTGCGTTCGGGTTCGGGCGCCTGGTTCAAGTGGGCAGAAGCCCTGCCTGCTACGCGCGCACGAAGCCTGCTGTCTATCCCGGTTGTGCGCAGAGTGCAGGTAGCCTACTCGCCCAGCACGCAGGAAGACAGTGTTTCAAAAGCCGAAGGCTTTGTTATAAAAAACTGACGTGGCATTTATATAGGGTCACAACCATCCTTTCCGGATCCTGTTTCAAGAGCGTCTTCAACTAGCGTTTCGGCCCCGTGTCCCTAAACTCCGATATACATATGGTCCCCACCCATGGGCCAACCGCGACTGTGCAAGCTCCTGGATGCACTGCATGTTCTGATGTTTTCCCTGTTGTTCGTTTGTGAGGTATAAAGGTTTAAAGCCAAGCATCGCTAAAAAAGAACACACATTCAAAGGCCCGGCCATACCCCTTCTCCAGTCAAAAACATCCAAAGACCCACATACTCAAGAAATGCAAAAACACCTATATATATATATATATATATAAAGCCCAAAAACCCAAACTTTTCCGGGAGATCCTCCGGCAAGGTTTGGATTATTGGATTTGCCGAAAACACGAACTACTACACTGAAAGCAGCAACTTAACACGCGCAACTCTCTGATTGCATTCTGGGGCAATTCCCCTGTCTTCTCTAAGAACAACCGTGCGCTGATGCAATGTGGTAAATGCCTGTAGTCAAGAGCCAGCCGCTCGTTGATGGGTTCATGGATTAATGGTGACTGGGGTTTATCCCATTCACAGGGCCAAAAGGATTGGGTTAGTTGGTTACATGGGTTATCGGCTTTAAGTCGTTCATGGGTTGCTGCCTCTAGCAAGCCGAAGGAAAATGCAGATAACCGGGTACCTATATATATATATGTATATATATATATATGAGAGAGCAACCTTTCGGGTCTATTTAGCTCCTTCCTTTGTTTTAATAAGTGAAATTAAATTAAAATATTTAAATTATTTAAATTATTCAATTGACTCCCATTAAATAATTTAAAAAATTTAAATAATTTATATAAGCAAAATTATTTAAATTATTTAATTTATTTAATTGCCTCCCATTAAATAATTTAAATAACTAAAATAATTTAAATAAGCAAAATTATTTAAATTATTTAATTTATTTAATTGACCCCGATTAAACAATTTAAATAATTTAAATAATTTAAATAAGCAAAATTAATTAAATTATTTAATTTATTTAATTGACCCCTATTAAAGAAATTAAATAATTTAAATAATTTCTGGCTGGTCTGGAAAGTTTCCTGAATTAAATTTATTTAAATTATTTAATTTATTTAAATTATTTAAAGTATTTAATTGACCCCTATTAAAAAAATTAAATAATTAAAATAATTTAAATAAGCAAAAATTATTTAAATTATTTAATTGACTCCAATTAAACAATTTAAATAATTAAAACAATTTAAATAAGCAAAATTATTTAAATTACTTAATTTATTTAATTGACCTCTATTAAATAAATTTAAATAATTTAAATAATTTACATAATTTAAATAAATTTAATTCCGGGAACTTTCCAGACCAACCAGCAAAACAATTAAATAATTTAAATCCGACAGCTCAATTAAATGATTTAATTAAACTGCGGGATTTAAAATTATTTTATTGATTTTTTTTTCTGGCTGGTCTGGAAAGTTTCCTGAATTAAATTTATTCAAATTATTTAATTTATTTAAATTATTTAAATTATTTAATTGACCCCTAGTAAATAATTTAAATAATAAAAATAATTTAAATAAGCAAAAATTATTTAAATTATTTAAATTATTTAATTGACTCCCATTAAATAATTTAAATAATTGAAATAATTTAAATAAGCAAAATTATTTAAATTATTTAATTTATTTAACTGCCTCCCATTAAATAATTTAAATAATTTAAATAATTTAAATAAGCAAAATTATTTAAATTATTTAATTTATTTAATTGACCCCTATTAAATAATTTAAATAATTTAAATAATTTAAATAATTTAAATAAATTTAATTCCGGGAACTTTCCAGGCCAACCAGCAAAACAATTAAATAATTTAAATCCGACAGCTCAATTAAATGATTTAATTAAACTGCGGGATTTAAACTATTTTATTGATTTTTTTTTCTGGCTGGTCTGGAAAGTTTCCTGAATTAAATTTATTTAAATTATTTAATTTATTTAAATTATTTAAATTATTTAATTGACCCCTATTAAATAATTTAAATAATTAAAATAATTTAAATAAGCAAAAATTATTTAAATTATTTAAATTATTTAATTGGCTCCCATTAAATAATTTAAATAATTAAAATAATTTAAATAAGCAAAATTATTTAAATTATTTAATTTATTTAATTGCCTCCCATTAAATAATTTAAATAATTTAAACAATTTAAATAAGCAAAATTATTTAAATTATTTAATTTATTTAATTGACCCCTATTAAATAATTGAAATAATTTAAATAATTTAAATAATTTAAATAATTTAAATAATTTAAATAAATTTAATTCCGGGAACTTTCCAGGCCAACCAGCAAAACAATTATATAATTTAAATCCGACAGCTCAATTAAATAATTTAATTAAACTGCGGGATTTAAATTATTTAATTGTTTTTTTTCTGGCTGGTCTGGAAAGTTTCCTGAATTAACTTTATTTAAATTATTTAATTTATTTAAATTATTTAAATTATTTAATTGATCCCTATTAAATAATTTAAATAATTAAAATAATTTAAATAAGCAAAAAAGGATTTAAATTATTTAAATTATTTAAATTATTTAAAATTATTTAATTGACTCCCATTAAATAATTTAAATAAATAAAATAATTTAAATACGCAAAATTTTTAAATTTTCTAATTTATTTAATTGCCTCCCATTAAATAATTTAAATAATTAAAATAATTTAAATAAGCAAAATTATTTAAATTATTTAATTTACTTAATTGCCTCCCATTAAATAATTTAAATAATTTACATAATTTAAATAAGCAAAATTCTTTAAATTATTTACTTCATTTAATTGACCCCTATTAAATAATTTAAATAATTTAAATAATTTAAATAATTTAAATAATTTAAATAATTTAAATAATTTAAATAATTTAAATAATTTAAATAATTTAAATAAGCAAAATTATTTAAATTATTTAATTTTGATTAATTGACCCCTATTAAATAATTTAAATAATTTAAATAATTTAAATATTTTAAATAATTTAAATAATTTAAATAATTTAAATAAATTTAATTCCGGGAACTTTCCAGGCCAACCAGCAAAGCAATTAAATAATTTAAATCCGACAGCTCAATTAAATGATTTAATTAAACTGCGGGATTTAAATTATTTAATTGATTTTTTTTCTGGCTGGTCTGGAAAGTTTCCTGAATTAAATTTATTTAAATTATTTAATTTATTTAAATTATTTAAATTATTTAATTGACCCCTATTAAATAATTTAAATAATTAAAATAATTTAAATAAGCAAAAATAATTTAAATTATTTAAATTATTTAATTGCCTCCCATTAAATAATTTAAATAATTTAAATAATTTAAATAAGCAAGATTATTTAAATTATTTATTTTATTTAATTGACCCAATTAGATAATTTAAATAATTTAAATAATTTAAATAAATTTAATTCTGGGGCCTTTCCAGACCAGTCACCAGACCCCTCTCCCCCTCCCCGCAGCTACCCCCCCCCCCGGCTGAGAACTGGGGCTGGGCCAGGGCCGGAGGGGGTGAGGGCTGGAGCTGGTGGGCTGGGTTGGGGGCGGTGGCGGGAGAGTGGGGGGGGGGGGGGGGGGGGGGGGGGGGGGGGGGGGGGGGGGGGGGGGGGGGGGGGGGGGGGGGGGGGGGGGGGGGGGGGGGGGGGGGGGGGGGGGGGGGGGGGGGGGGGGGGGGGGGGTTGAAGGAGCTGAAAGCTGGAGAGCCAGCTCGGCGTGGAGGGGGGGGGGGGTTGGGCTGTTCTGGGGTGGGCTGGAGGGGCTGGGAGGGCCCCCACCCGCCCCCGCCCTTCCCCTGCCATCCCTTTCCCACTCTTTCAAGGGCTGAGCTGAAGAGCTGGAGCTGGGGTGGGCTAGTCTGGGGCCGGCGGCGCTGGAGAGCGGAGAGGGGTTGAAGGAGCTGGGCTGGCCGAAGGGTGGAGGGGCTGGAGAGCCAGCTCGGGGTGGAGGGTGGGCCAGGGAGGGTCAAGGGGGCCAAGGCCCTGGCACAGGGCTGGGCACCCCCCCCAACCACCACCCCTCTTTCTCTCACCATCCAAAAAGAGTTTAAACAAAAAAAACGTTTTTCTCTTCACCAACCCTCCCCCATCCCTCTCCACCATCAAACGCCCTCACCATGCCTACTCCCCCAGCTCACTTTTCACTCCCTCACGTTCTCAACCGCTTCCACACATTAATCAGCTGCTTTACCCTATCATCTTCTTATCATCTTTTATCATATTTTATCATCTCTCATATTATCTCTTTTTATTATCTTCCATCATGTTTAATCATCTTCATATGCTTTTCTTATCATCTTCATATCATCTTTTTATCAGCCTTTTATCATCTTTTTTGTCATCTTTTATCATCTTTTAATCGGGTCAAAATTCGGGATCTCATTTGGAAAGCATCCTTATCTGAATCATCTTCTATCGTTATCATCCTTTATCATTTTTTATCATCTTTTTATCACCTTTTATCACCTTTTATCATCTTTTATCATCTTTTATCATCTTTATCATCTTTTATCATCTTTTACCATATTCATATAATAGTCTTATAATCGTTTTGTAGTCTTTTCTATTTTTTCGTAATC